TAATAACTATTATCATTTCCCTGACCAATTTCTCTAAATCCAAAGATGAGAATTTTAAATGGAAGTATGCTTGTCAAGCAAGCATAAGGCCCTATGTTCAATCTCCAGTAGCATAACAAATTTTTTTTAAAAAGTAAAATGATATTTACTTGTAGAAGCATTCTCAGAATACAGTTTTACTTTAATAGTTAATGATCTCAATTTTTATTGATCTCAAATTAAATGAGTAAAATTTCAAAAAAGAAATGCTAAATCAGTTGATTAGAGAAAGAATACATGCTGTTGAAAACAAGGTAAATAAATACAATTACCATACTACTATAAAATCTTAAGTGTTTTTCTTTCAGTCTCTTCTATGCACCCTTTACTGGATTACATCATAAAATTTTTCCTGTTTACTGTAATACAGCATTCAATTATTAACATTCCTTAAACTATTAAAAGTTCCCTAACAGACATAATTTTTAATGAAGGTTTATCTTGTAGATTAGGGTTCAAGTGCTTTAAAGCGAAATTCCAGCATAGAGCTTTGTCTAATAAACTCTACCTTTTCATTTATTATACTACTAATTCTCCAAGTTACTAGATCTCTCCATCAGACCATTTTCTTTTTTGGTTTCTGGGGTTATAATTTAATTAAGCCCAAAACTCCCAAAGAAGTATATTAAGTGTTTTTATGTTACCTTGAAAAGCAAGTAAATTGAGCCCTTATAAGACTACTAGAGAGCAGAGATTCAGAACTATAATTCATTGCTAAGGATGCTTGATCTTTTTCTACCACATGTTAGTCTTTTACTAGCATTCTATCTGCAAACAAAGTAAAAAATGAAGGAATGTACTCTCAGATGACTCCTGGGAGACTTTCTACTGGACAAACCCAACTGTTCCTAATTAATTTAACTATGGCAACCACTCCCAAGTGCTGAACATTCCAAGCCATTTTTCAGAATGGTTAGATATCTCTCAAGGAAGCAGAGACTTCCTGAATAAACTATAAGTACAGGCAAAAATGAAAAATATCATTAATGTGCCTTTTCCATTGTGGGAACTCAAATATCTGTCATGTTGAATAAAATATTTCTTTTCTGCTTCAGAGCACATGTTGTAATTTTCAAACTCTGCCCTGTACTTACTATCATAATTGTTAAAACAGACCACTAAGGTGAAGTTAATCAGCACAGTGTATTTTTTAATTAAATTAAAAATAAACACCAGAAACTGAAATTATGGGAGATGTTTTCCCTCCAATTTCCAAACTGTCTGCAATATAGTTATATCACTCTTGCAATGTTTTTAAAAAGCACTAAAAGGAAGAGCATTCTTATAACATTTATTGTTTTTAGATCATACACTAGGAGTTTTTATTAAGTTCCAATTTAAGAACTTTTTAAACTATTTTTTTTTAAAAACCTATTTCATAATCAAGAGCACGAACTGCACACCCACAATTCTATCAAGATACCACTAAAGGAGACAGGCATGTGGCACACACCTGTAATTCCAGTGACTCAGGAAGCTGAGGCAAGAGGATCCCAAGTTCCAGGCCAGCCTTAGCAACGTTTAGCAAGGCCCTAAGAAACTTGGCAAGACCCTGTCTCAAAATAAATAAAAAGGGCTGAGAATGTAGCTCAATGGTAGAGTACCCCTTGGTTCAATTCCCTGAAACAAAAGAGGAAAAACAAGAGCATACACTGAAAAAATACAAGAGAGCATTGCACATGTTAAGCATCTAGTACACAAAGAAATATAACAAAAGAGAAAGCATTAAGTACTACAAATCTCGGTTCAAATTTCATATCTATCAATTACTAGCTTATGTAAATTACTTTCCTCATTTATAAAATGAATTGTTAGATGAAGTGAAGTAAAATTCCTAGCAAACAGTAACAGGCAAAAAGACGCTAACAGTAATATTATTATTAGGAATACAAATATTAGAAGAAGAAATAAGCAAGTGAAAAAGTTCAAAAAGAAAGTATTACAGATCTTTTTTGTAATCTACCACCATAAGCAAAAAATAAAAATAAAACTTTAAAACAAATTTTAAAGTTAAGAAAACTGAGGAGCTGGGAATATAGTTCGGTGGTAGAATGCTTGCCTAGCAATGTTGGATCCCCAACATTGACAAAAAGAAAACTGAGACATAGCCCAATGCCATACAGTTAACTGTTATAAAAGCTGGTTTTGATGCCCTTAATCCCAGTGACTCAGAGGCTAAGGCAGAAGGATGGTGAGTTCAAACTCAGCCTCAGCAACTTAGAAAGGCCTTGACTCACCGAGACCCAATGAAATACAAAAAAGGGCTGGGGTGTGGCTTGGTGGTTAACTAAAACATTTTTTATCTTCTCCCCCAAACTGTCAGTTTTGTTCGATTGATAAAAGCCAAAAAATTATAAATACAATCCCAACACAGTGCCTTATCTACATAATAGATACTTTGAAAATATTTGTTGAATGTAGTAAATAAACCTGCTCCAACACCATCATCACCTCATGACCAAAAGCAAAAACTAACTTCAGCATCTGTTTAATCTTCATAATTATAATAAAGCCCTTTAGAATTTTCAGTAATTCATATAATAGTTATTCATCATTCTGCTCCGGAGAGAAATGAATTAAAAGTTGTTCCTTGCCTATCAGGTGGTACACATCTATAATCCCACCTACTTGGAAGGCTGAGTCAGCAGGACTGCTGAAGCCCAAGGGTTCCAGGCCAGCCTGGACCATAGAGCAAGACCACCATAAATAACAAAAATTAAAAATACAAAAGATGTCCCTACCCTGAGGAATCTCACATTTGAGTATGGCTGTCTAAGTGTGTGTTGGTAGAGTGGGGAGGAGAAATAGAAGGTAATAGAAACAAATCAATATTGAATGTAAAACCAGGTTGCACTGTTATCTGAGTTTTTTAGACTCAAGCAGTTTTAAAAAATTAACTTAATTTTTTAAAATTAAAATTAAATTTAAAAACCACAAATGTGCTAAATATGAAAATAACGAGGAGGCACAATAGGAAATATTAACTGGGAAGGTTCTTTTTTTCTTGTGCCTTTATAATTGTAAAGTGTCTTAAGATCAAAATATTCTAAATTGATTTATTTGAGTTATCAATAATTAACCGCCTTTGTATATTCTCTTAAATATAAGACACTGAAGATTAATACTACCGATTCTGTATTTACTCTGGGTACATGTTAATACCTAAATATATATAACCACAAGAACATATGTAAATTATTTAAGCAACTAAAAAACGGACAGAGCCTGAAGCAATGATAGTAAACAAAAACTAAAAACATAGTTATTACCCAGGGAGAAAATAAAATATGCACACAATTTAGAAACAATTTTACAGAAGCTTTCAAGAGAACAAAATTTTCAAGAGAGGAAAATTCCTGCCAGAATTTGCCAACAGAGCCAGAAATCCACAGCTTGCCAGCAGGCACCTCATGTAATGCAAGTCACTAACTAGACTCGTAGAAAGTGAACATCTAAAAAGTCAATGTTTCTATTCCTCAAATTTGAGTTTCAGAAGGACCTTTCAAAATAGACTCATGGGACCAAGACTAAACCATTACATTCCATGTTAAAGGTTCTTCCCTGCTTATTGGTCAAAAAGAATAAACAATAGCAAATAAACCTCTAAGGCACAATTCTTGCAAACTGAAGTTCTGAAGTTATTTTTACCTGAGGGATGTGTGTGTGTTCTTATTTCTAAGAAAAAGACTCTTTCACTCTCTCTATCCTAGAGTGCTAGGCAAAACACCGCAAAGTCTCTTGATCCTAACACAAAGACCAAATGCATGCCCTATCCCAGTGTTAAAGCCTTAAAAGCACCGGAAAAATCTAGGCCACGGAGACAAGATGGCAGGGAGATACCACAAGGCAGCTAAAAAGGCTGGGAGGGCTCAGATCAGGGAGTACATGGCCACTAGCTCTACAGAAAACAGGCTGAGAAGGTGAGGCTGAAGAGAGTTTTGGTCGTTAGAGCTGGAAGGGACTAACAGGTGTCTGGCACTTCATCACCCTGAACATAGTGGGAAGGCTATAATTGGCTTTCTTTACTAAGAGGGAGGAACCAAGCTCCCTGAGTGAATGATGGTTTGACTTTTTCTGTGAAGAACAAGCATAAAAGGCAAGAAGAACCTGAGGACAGGTTTTGGTGAAGATTCTCCCAGGACACACTGATCTGCTAGGTGGTTCCCAGCACCAAGCCTAGCCAAAGTGCTACACCTGCTAAAGGATGTTTCCTCTGTTATCCGTTCGGACAAGCTATTAGGTGAGAGTTCCCTACCCCCAACCGGGGTGGAAGTGAAAGTAGATTTGGGTGAAAAAGACTGAATCGGGGGGTCTGACCCAGAAGTTAACCTGATCAGGAGCGGGAAAGAGCTGAATTCCTGAATTCAGGAAGGGGCGAGCAGGGCAGGTACCTGAGTAGGATGCGACCTACTGGGAAGCAAGGCTAACTGGAGAGAACTACTGGAGAAAAGGAGGGCTTCCGTCGAATTCCAGCGGACAAATGCTGCTTAGAGGGGGCCTGTGCGTCCGCTCGGGAAGGCATTGCCGCCGGTGGCCCAGAGGGCGACCCGCCTGCGACCGGGGGTGAGGCTGCTCCGCGCGAGCTCAACAGGAGCTCACCTGGCGGGCGTGTGGCCTGGAAGGGGAAACTTCCTGGGTGGGTGAGAGCTGACGCGGCTGGGCCAGCGCGGGACGCGCGAGCGCGGCCCGGGGCACAGTCCACCGGGCAGTGGGCTGGGATGGGGGCCGCGCGGGGCGGGGCAGGGGCGCCGGCCGATTCGGGGCGGGGTCGCGGCCGCGACGGCGGAGCTCCGGCTCCGGATGGCGCCCTGGCTCAGTCCCGCACACGCTCTCGCCCGGGCGCACCGGCCGCCTAGCGCGCGAGTCGCGAGCAGCTGCCCGGGTCAGCGAAGCTGAGGGCGGTGGGGGAGGGGGCCGGGGGCATCGGCCCGCCGAGCCCGGCGACGGGCAGGCGGCGTTACCTGTGTCAGGGAGAGCTGGGCTGCCGCAGCCATGGTGTTTCCATCATGCACGGGAGGGGAAGGAAGGACTGGCGGACTGGGGCTCGGGGCGGGGAGGAGGCGGAGGGAGCGGCCGTAGGCAAGGCTCGGGCGGGCGGGCCGGCCGGCGGGCGGGCGTCTCCCCGAACTTCGACAACTTCCCTCCTCACCCCGCCCCGCCCCGCACGGCCCCGCCCGCCGGCCCGAGCAGGCCGCGGCGGCGCGCAAACCCTGGCGCTGGAGTTAGTGCTGCCGGACCAGAGTTTGCCCTGGGCCGCCTGGGAAAACCCGGCGCGGATATGTTTGGGGCGGACGGGCTACAGAGGCGGCACCAGATTGTCCTGTGTGAACTTAAGGTAGGTCACCTACTTTGAGCTTCTGTTTCAGAAAAATGAGAGAAAGTATACCCACAGTTAATGTGGCTTCTGAGGACTAAAACAGATAAGGATTCTAAATAATGACAGTACTATATATACTTCAGGCTCTGTACCAGATGCTTTTGTTTTTTACTTGTATGAATGAGGGAACTGAAACAGAAATGCATTACACAAATAAGGGAACAGACCAAAATAAATATCTTACGTAAAGATTAAATAGCTTGATTAGTATCTCAGTTTGCCTCTAAAGCCTTTCCATGTGCTATTATTTTAAATAATAATAACTTTTTAAGGTTGAGCGCTAAGGAGCACACCTGTAATCCCAGCGACTTGGAAGCCTGAGGCAGGATGATTGCCAGTTCAAAGCCAGCCTTAGCAATTCAGTGAGACCCTGTCTCTAAATAAAAAACAAAATTATATATGGGGGGGCTCAGGATGTGGTTCAGTGCTTAAGGCCTCTGGGTTCAATCCCCAGTACAAAAAAAAAAAAAATATAGGTTATTTCCTCCAGTTAAAACCTATTTAGAAGGAGGAAGGAATATAGTCCTGCTGCCTGTTCCACTTAGATTGTTCAATAAGAGAGACCTGCAGAGGGCTAAGGTTGCTAAATGTAAGAACAGGTGTGCAAGGCCCTGGATTCATCCCCAGCACCAAGAGGAAAAAAAAAAAAAACAAAAACACTAGGATCTGTTTGGTGCCTGAAGCACTCCTAACCTTGCCCTTATATTAGCTTGCAAACACTTCCTCCCTTCTGTGGACACAATTCAAGCATCGCCTCTTTTGCAAAGTATCTTCTCTCCAAATGAAAGTTACACATTCTCTTTTTTAACCTTTTTTCTCTACTGTATGAAATCCTCATCCCCCTAATGACTGTCTACCTCCCTAGATTAAGAATTCCCCAGTGGAAAATAACTGGTTTTGTATTTTTTGTATCTTTTTGTTTTCTCAGACATTAGCACATAGCTCAATAAAAGCCACATTAAACATAACACATCCTACTTTCTCATGCTGCCACTCTCAATAGGAATAACCAACCAGTTACTTGAAATTCTCATCATCGTAGGCTCAGTTTATATGCTAACTACCTCAAGAAGCTTCTAGAAGTCCACCCCACCTCGTAATTGCTCTGACGTGACTTTTATTATGTTCTGCTTGTTTTAACAGTTGAGGGCTTCTCTGCCACTCACTGAACTGAAAAATCTTGAGGACAGGTGACTGACTTACTCCTCTACCTCCCTCACAGTTTAGCTGAGCTTGCAGTAAAGCTGTAGCCTACCCCAAAACCCAGAATTGGTCTTTCTTTCTCAGGCATGGTGGCTTCCCACACCACCATCCAGTTGTGGTGGAAACCACAACTCTTATCAGTCCTAAACCATTACCACTATCATAGTAGTCCCCATTTGGCACGTTAAGAAGGACAGCTGAACAAGACCCATTTGTAATTAGCCCACTTTGGTTTTTAGACTTTTTCCACCACAAACCAACCACCCACAGAAATGCTTGCCAGGAGCTCCTAACTCCACTCGACCCCTCTGACCAGATCCAGCCTTAAAAAGCAAGCCATACAGGCCTCCTCATTTAAGAGAGTCTCCCTTGGCCACTTTATGTTTTTTTGTTTTTTTATTCAAAGGAAAAGGGAGTAATACTGTTTTAAATAATTCCACTTTGATGCATTTAACAGCAATAACCACAAGTGATATTTCTATTGGAGTTTTCTATTTTATATTATCACATCTGCATTTCACAATTCACTTCACAAATGAGGTAACAGAGTGTCACAGAGGTTAAGTGATTTGTTCAAGGTTATACAGATAATCTCCAAAGCAGTATTGTTATAGTGAAATGAACAGGGCTCAAACATTAGAAACAAGATTCCAGCTTTGACTCCAGTATTTACTAGTTACATGACCTAAGACTTGTTATAAAATAACATATGAATGCATCTAAAGTTGTAGATACACAAATTAAGAAATATCAAAGTCATAGAGCGGACTGGGCATGGTGACACATGCCTGTTATCCCAACTACTCCTGCTGAGGCAGGAGGATCACAAGTTAGAGACCAGTCTCAGCAATTTAGCAAGACTCTGTGTCATAATTTAAAATTTTTAAAAAGGGATAGGGATGTAGCTTAGTGGTAGAGTGTCCCTGGGTGGTTCAACACCCAGCACCACAAAATAAAAATAATAAAAATGAATGAAGGAAGGAGGGGAGGAAAGAAGAAAGAGAAAGAAAAGAAAGTCATGGAGAAAATTGGTTTGGGGAATACAATTTTACTTTCTATTCAAGGAAACTCTTCCAAACCTCATGTGATCCAAGACATTATCCTTGGATGAATTAGGTAGAATCCCAGATGTCTAGAATTTTCTGGAAAGGCAGTGTGTGGTAGTAGAGAGAACATTGGAATCAACTTAGTGTGTGCCCTCAGGCAAACCATATAATCTATCTGGCCCTTAGTTTCTCATGTATGATAATAAGCAAATCAATATGGAAAATGTTAAGAAAATGTAAGGGACTATTATCATTATTATGTGATTTATGTTGTCAAAAATGATACCTTATACCAGCTTTTGGGGAGGCTGAAGCAGGAGGATTGCAAGTTCAAGTCAACCTGTACAAGACCCTGTCTCAAAATTTTTAAAAAGGGATGTAGCTCAGTGGTAGAGTGCTTGCCTAGCATGTGTAAGGCCCTGGATTCAATCCCTAATAACCCCCCAAAAAGTAACATCTTCTATTTATATCATACTGCTTTTCACAGTTTATAAATGTTTATATTTACAGCATCTAGCACAACTCCTGATGCCTAATAAGTACATTATAAAAGTGTGTTGAACTGATTGGATACAGTAGTACACACCTGTAATCCTAGCTACTTGGAAGGGGCTGAAATAGGAGGATTGTCATTTCAAGGCCAACCTCAGCAAGCCCTCTCTCAAAATTAAACATTAAAAGAACAGGGACCGGGGCTGGGGATGTGGCTCAAGCCGTAGCGCGCTCGCCTGGCATGCGTGCGGCCCGGGTTCGATCCTCAGCACCACATACAAACAAAGATGTTGTTGTGTCTGCCGATAACTAAAAAATAAATATTAAAAAAAAATATATTAAAAAAAAAAAAGAATAGGGACCAAGTACTCTCGTAATCCCAGCAGCTTGGGAGGTACTAGTTTAAAGCCTGCCTCAGCAAAAACAAGGCACTAAGCAACTCAGTGAGACCCTGTCTCTAAATAAAATACAAAATAGAGCTGGAATTATGACTCAGTGGTTGAGTGTCCCTGAGTTCAATCCCCAATACACACCCCACCCCACCCAAAAAAAAAAAGACAGGAGATGTAGCTCAGTGGCAAAGTATCCCTGGTTCTATACACAGTTCCACAAAAGAAAAAAAAAAAGTTTGTTGAACTGAACACACAATCTTATATATAGTTATTTGTTCCTTGATTTTCTTATCTGGAGATAAAGTAAAGAAACAAATTCTGTAAATAACTTGTTTAAGTGGGGGCCACTTAAAGAGGGTTTGAATCTTGGTTTAAAAAAAATAGAATCAGACACCTCCCCTCAAGAGGGAAAGACTCCCTTAAAATTATTATATGGGAGTTGTTCCAGGCCCCTTCCAGAACCTAATTTGCATTAGCTTGTTTCTCTGCTTACAGGCTCTGGTTTCAGTTAATAACTTGACATGTCATGGGAGAGCCAGCCTGTAGGAATGGGAATGATGGGCCAAACTCCCAAAACAGGCCTAGAACTTCTGAAACTGGATTTGTGTGTGTGTGTGTTTTTCTTTTTTTAATGCCAATGACAATTTGCAAATGTGTGTGTCCCAGATCTCATCAAAGCACTGGGTCACATCCCAAATCTATTTTAGGATCATAAAATGTAGCTAATGGAAGATATGTTATGATCTAATTCATCGTAACAAGAGTGAACTGCATATGAGAGATGAAAAGGACTTACCTATATTTTCTAGGGAAGCTTAATATCTCTGGGTCTCTAAACCTCATATTCCTCACAAGCACTGTTTTAGTCAGCTTTTTCATTGCTATAACCAAAAGACCCAACAAGAACAACATAAAGGAGGAAAAGTTCATCTGGTGCTCACGGTTTCAGACATCTCAGCTACTGCTCTGGGCCCAAGGTGAGGCAGAATATCCCAGTGGAAGAGTGTAGCAGAAGAACACAGTCAGAAAGCAGAGACTCCACTCACCAGGGACAACATATAAACCCCAAAGGTATGCCACCAGTGACCCACTTCCTCCAGCTACACCCTATCTGCCTATAGTTACCACCTACTTAATTCATGAAAGTGAATTAATGCCCTGATTAGGTTAAGGCTCTCATAATCCAATCATTTCACTTCTAAACTTTCTTGCATTGTCTCACACATGAGCTTTGGAGGAACACTTCATATCTAAACATAAGAGGCACATTGGTGATATTAAAGCCTACTTAGTAGGAATAGTGTAAAAATTAGAGATGGCCAGGCAAAGTGGCACATGCCTATAGTCCCATCTGCTCTGGAGGTTGAAGTAAGAAGATTACAAGTTCTAGGTCAAACTGGGCAATTTAGCAAGACCTTGTCTCAAAATAAAATTTTTAAAAAGAGGTGGGATTTTATCTCATTGATAGAGCACTTGCCTAGCATATGCAATGCCCTGAATTCAAGTCCAGTATTATAAAAATAAAACTAAAAAAGGGATCACGCATAAATGGCCTATGAAAGGGCCTGGGTCACC